TATTTCACAAAATAACTATAATTTAATTAAAATATAATTAAATTAAAAAACACTACTTAAAATATAAATAAACACATACATTAAATTAGTAAAAATTAGCTTCAAATCTTAATTACTTTAAACTAATTCATCGCTAATAACAATTTTCCAATAATACCATATTAATTTATTTCCTTACATTTAGAACAATGCATAAAAATAATATCCTCAAATGATTAAAAATACGGTTGATCTTTACAATATGGTAACTGGTAGTTTGGCGACATTTTGGAGGCGATAAAGGTTACTACCTGGGACTTTGGTAATAATGTGAGCAGTACTCAGTTCCGATTACGCATTATTTTGTGTGAGGGAAATGAGAGATCATGGGATATGTCATGTGATATTAATGGACGAATTACGGTTCTTTAATCGGAAAAGGGGGGAAATCGGGAAAAAATCTGGAAGTTTTGTATTTGGCTTTATTCTGTGTTGTGTGAAACAGTGTTCGTGAATTTTTGGATCCCATGGCCGTAACTAAAGTGAATTCGAAATGGGTATTTATGTATGTATTAATTTAATGTATGTGCTCATTTATATTTTAAGTAGTGTTTTTGAATTTAATTATATTTTAATTAAATGATAGTTATTTTGTGAATTTTATGTTTGTAGGAATTTGGTATACGTTTTAGTTGAAGTAAACGTGCATGGAAATAATTTAAATATCTGACACTAAGTATTTGTAATGGTTGCGGTATGAATTCGTTGGTGATGTGTATAATGTAATAGATGATTTAGAGGTAAAAGTTTTTGGATATTTTATTATTTTATATGTGGAAATGTTCATATTTGGAAAGGATAATACTTTTTTTTTTTTTTCGCGATCAGGTAATTTCATATATGTTTTTTTACCGGGTTTAAAGATTGAGAAAATTGTCATGTATTTTCGTGAAATTTTTCTAATTTATGAGAAAAAAGCAGTGTACATGGATATAGTGAAGAGTGTGAGCAATGCCATTTTTTTGTGGCAATTCTGGAATGTTTTTTTTAGGTAAAAATAAGTCGGCGTGTACATTGGTTTATGTGTATGTGTTATTTTGAAAAATGCGTAAGGAGATGGTATTGTGCACTTTTTTTTCCCAATTTTGCAGTGAATATTTGTCACGATTAAGCAGTTTTGTTAGATAAAATTTCTAGCATAAGTGTAATTCGGCTAGTAGATTGTTGGAAGAAGTGTTCAGTAGATAAAAAGAAAAGAACATGTCTTTACTTCATGAAGACAAATGGCGGCGGGAAAAAAAAATAGAGGGTTGCTGTAGGAGAGTTGGTCGCCAAATTTTCGCCAAAGAAACGCCAAGTTACCATAATGTAAAGATCAACCAAAAATACTAACTTACCTAATCTTCTTCAGAATCTTGAGTGCATAGCGGATAAACGTTTTTTATGGATTCAATAAAATCATTGAATGATTTTTTCTGGTAATTTTTCCACCATATTTTCTCTGCTAAATAAAAAGCAATATTCTCCTATCATAATGCTTCTGAATAGCACTTTTTATAGCACCCCACGTGCCCTCAATCGTATTCGTATGTCCATTTTCACCAGATTTCTTTCACCGCCATTGAAACTTATCTGTAATATCCTTCCCTCGAATTCACTTTACATAGGGCCATGACATCCAAAAATTAATCAACACTGTTTCACACAATACATAATGAAGCTAAATACCAAATGCTAAACGCAATAAAAATTTCAAATTCACTTTACATAGGGCCATGGGATCAAAAATTAAGGAACACTCTTTCACACAACATGAATACAATGAACATAAATACAAAATGCTATAAAGAACTGCAGATATTTTTCTAAATTTTCCCCCTTTTTCGATTAAACAACTGTGATTCGTCCATAAATGTCACATGACATATCTCATGATCTCTCATTTCTCTCACGCAAAATAATGCGTAATTGGAACTCGGTACTTCTCACATTATTGCCAAAGTCCTAGGTAGTAACCTTTATCGACTACCAAAATGTCGCCAAACTGCCTGTTTTCCATATTCCAAAGATTAGCCAAAAAAAAAAACTAGCAGGTTGCTGTAGCAGGGTTGGTCGCCAAAAAATCACCGAGTTACCATAATCCGAAGATTCACCGGATATCTAAATTTTAGCAGCAAACAGCATGGTAGCATATATACATACAAAAGCACATATCCCTGACATTCCAAATTATCAACCGTACAACTCTGATATGCGCCCTAATTTCACCAAATGTGGCGATATGTGTTCTGCGCTGGTTTCTGGCGCGATTGCGTGTTGTATGGCAACCCTGTTGATGTTGATAAAATCTTTCGCTGGAGCTCGTTGGTTTGTTGGTTCGCATCTGTGTCTCAGAAGATAGGGGGGAAAGATAAAATGGTGGGAGTTATTGAATTGAAGTTTGGAACTACTCTGATATGCGCCCTCAAGTCGCCAAATTTCGCGCCAAATATTTTTGGCGAGAAACTTCACGCTGCCATATTACTATCTAAATTTTTTGTCTACATTTCGAACTTTTAGCCTAAAATGTCTCTAAAAACGCAGTTTTCGCACATGCAAAAACTATGTTTTCAACATACAATTTAGCTAAAAATCCGAAACAAAAAAAAAAAAAATTTAGATAGCAAAAACATAAAGTTTCTAACCAAAAATATTTGACAAGAATCCATGTACACAGCGACATGTTTTAACTTAAAAAAACATCTACGAATGGCACAATGTAGGCAACAAACGAATCTAGAAACTACGCACATCTCGCTTTAATAAATTAACATAACGACAATAAATTTCAAAGAATACCATGTACACAGCATCCCGTTTAAACTTAAAAAAAATTCTACGAATTGCACAATTTAGGCAAGGAAGGAATCTACGATCTACGCACTCCTTGCTTTAATAAAATAACATAACAACAATAAATGTCAAATAATACACAGCGTTCTGTTTCAACTTTAAAAAACATCTATGAATTGCGCAGTCTAGACACTAAACAACTAAAATAATAATAAACTAAAATAAATTTCAAACAATATAAAAAAACAACAATAACGACAGAAATTCATACTAAAGAACCAATGAACATAACATTCTACAAAATAAGAACAAGATAAAATAAAATGCACTTACCATGATTAATGCGTTTTCTCGAATAGCAGAAATATAAATTTCATACCGCCTTTAACATGCCGCCACATAATCACTATCGTATTTACATGACAGCCAGACACACTATCCAGAAAATTTATACTATGGTTCACAAATAAATAAAATTACAAATCCCTACTTCTATCATGCACTGCCATTAAAAAATAATCTCCCAGACCCTCTTTCCACACTTCCAAATACCCACTACCCCTCAACAGGATAGCCACAATGATATTCCCTTTTGCCGAACTTCAATTCAACAACTACCATTTTATCTCTTTCCCTCCCATCTTCTCGACACAGAAGCGAATCAACGAGCTCCAGCAAAAAGATTTTTCAAATGTCAACAGTTCCATAGAACACGCAATCGTGCCAAAACCAGCAGAACACATTCGCCACATTTGGTGAATCTGGCGTATTAGATTTGTTGTACCAAAACGAAATATCATTGTGGCTATCCTGTGAGGGGAGTGGGTATTTGAAGGTGTGGAAAGAGGGTCTGGGAGATTATTTTTAGTGGCTGTGCATAATATAGAAATAGGGATTTGTGATTATTTGTGAACCATAGTATGAATTTTCTGGATAGTGTAATATATACATACGATATAAATACGATAGTGATTACGTGGAGGCATGTTAAAGGCGGTATGAAATTGGTATTTCTGCTGTTCGAAAAAGCATTAATTCATGGTAAGTGCATTTTATTTTATTTTGTAGAATGTTATGTTCATTGTTTTTTTTGTATGAATTTCTGTCGTTATTGTTGTTTTTGTAATTGTTTGAAATTTATTTTAGTTTATTTTGTTGATTACTGCGTAGTGTCTAGATAGTGCAATTCGTAGGCGTTTTTTAAAGTTGAAACAGAACACTGTGTACATGGTATTCTTTGAAATTTATTAATTTATTGTTAATTTATTAAAGTGAGGCATGTGTAGTTCGTAGATTCGTTCGTTGCCTAAATCGCGCAATTCGTAGACGATTTTTTTAAAGTTTAAACAGGATGCTGTGTGGATGGTTATTCTTTGAAATTTATTGTTATGTTAATATATTAAAGTGAGGTGTTCGTAGATTCATTCGTTGCACAGATTGTGGCAATCTCAATTTTTTTGTTTTTGTTTCGGATTTTTAGCTTAAATTGTGTGTTCATAACGTAGTTTTTGCATGTGCGAAAACCGCGTTTTTGGAGACATTTTAGGCTTAAAGTTCAAAATGTAGACAAAAAATTTAGATAGTAATATGGCAGCGGGGAGTTTCTCGCCAAAAATGTTTGGCGTCTTGAGGGCGCATATCAGAGTAGTTCCTTATCATCATAACAGATCTTAATACAAGATGAGTGACACATAGTAGAATCTGGACATCGCTATATATTTTTTGAACAGTGATATGTTAACTATCAACAACTAAGTGTTCAACAGTATGTGAAACAAAATATTTTTCTCCGAAATTAAAATTTAACGGATTTCTTCCACTAAAACACCAATGTTTATACTAGTCACAGTATTCTTTTATTAAAGAATTAATTGCGACAACACACGGACCGCAATACATTAACGTTAGTTATACCAATAGAGAAATAAATCCAGCTGGTTAGATACAAATCGATTAGACATGGTTTAGAAAAAGAGGGAGAAAAAGGAGAGAGAACTACTTAGGAGATGATAAATTCAAGGATATTTAAATTATTATTCATAATTTATCATTAAGAAACCATACATGTATCAGCGAAAAATTTCGCCAATATTAGATGACTTTACAGATGAAATACAGAATCCATTTTCAAAGAAGTGCAAAGAATCGGAAAACACTCCAGTTGTTTATGAAGAAATAAACGGTCTTACCTCCTCTCTTCTCTTCAACCAACGACCGCATGGACTCTCTTCTAAATTTTCACTTTCGTCTTCAGATTCATCACCACTCTCTCTTTTATTATTCAAATCGCGACAAATATCAATATTAGCCATGATTCTGATGATCTTAAATTCCTACAAACTTATAACTTAGTAAGAAAGAAAAGGAAAATTATTTACAACCCAGACCGTAGGTGTCACAGGTTACTACAACATGCTATTTCAACAGCGACTCCTCAGGCGACAAATAAATCTTGACAGAAGCAAAACCTTGATACCGAATCTAATGGCATCACTTCAGTTCTTATCAGCGAAACATTTCGCCTTCGCATGAGAGCATAACATACAGCTAGACTATTATTTAAAAGGAAATTCATTCCATTTGATCCTTAATTTAAAATATACTGCACCCATTAAAATACCGATTCGAAACTGTAGTAACAAATCAGTAAAATTTTCATATGTCAAACAGACAGTGGAACAGCTAGGGAAGTCAAGGATCTCTCTCTTGACACTCGTGGATAAAATGCGATCTTCATCATCGGGCGCAGTATTCAGGAGGGGCCTAATTTATGTTCCCCTTTGTATTTTGGCAAACAGGAGGGGGAGGCAAAAAATTTTCACTTTTTGAAAACCCTATTTAAGCTTCTGCAACCAGGGAACCGTAGTCTGGACCAACGAGATAGTATACTGGTAGAGAGCGTATTGCAACCTTCAACCGGTTCCAACATTAGTGTCACGTGACTGCTGCGCGAATTCCGAAAGTCCGGAAATACTTTACATTGATTTCTATGGGACGAAAGACTGCTGCTCTGCTTGGTCACATAAACTTTAAGTAAAAAATGGTTATTCCGCTGCAGCGCCTATGGATGTAAAGAAAGTTTTCGTGAAAGGAGGACTTGTAACCTTTCATAGGTAAGTTAAACTGCATGATTTATTATTTATTTTCAGTATTTTTGTCATTTTACTATCTCTGTTTAATTGGTTGGAAAGTTTCAGCCATATTGTATAAGAAAATTGCCGCCGTATATGACATTTTCAGCATGTATTATTAGCATCAAAATGTATTAAATACTGTGACACTATTTACTGGAATCACCCTTTTACAAATATTGAATTTTTATATGTTTTTCCGTGTATTCCGTTGAAATAAAAGCTGCGCCAATTGGCGTTAACTTTTTTTCGCCAAGTTGTACGCGTTTTGATTTCATAAACAATTACTGCCTGCAATAAAGAAAAGAAAAATGCTATTATTAGCATTAAATTATTGAGAAAAGATTGTGCGATATGTTTACTTTGTTAAAAAAAATGCTGAAGATCTTGATTCATGCAACCATGAACGTAAACAGTTAAACAGCATTATTTTAAAAATCAGATTACTTTTATAAAGCTCAATGCTTTATCATTATTTTCTTAAATCAATTAAAATAATCTGGATTATAATTCTGTCTCATCTACGATGCTATTAGAAATTTATTGTAATTGAAAAAATGTGATGTGAAAAACTTACATATTTTAAATAGTATTTAAAAAAAGGAGAGTGAGAGAATTTTTAACTGTAATATCGGTTTTGATCCTAATAATAAATACTGAGTTGAAGTTTGTTACCGTTTGATACATATTCAAATAAATATTTGTTATAGTTAATAAATTTAAACAAATTTAAATTAAATTTTTAACAAATACGTATAAAAGTAAAAAAGCAATTTAAATCCTAAAAAAGCCAAATAGTTTTAAAAAAAATGTGCAAACATATAAAAGATTTAATACTCGAACTAATCTACAATATCCTTTAAATTCAGAAGCATAAGCAAATCAAGTGCAAAATCAATCCATTATTTGTTAAAAATTATCATTATTTGTTAAAACTTTATTTTATTTGTTAATTATTAATTATTGTTAAATTATTAATTATTTGTTAAAATCATCATTGTTGTTTGTTAAAATTAAATTTTAAATTTGTTTAATTTAAATTTCATTCCTTGCAGCAATGGCGCAAAGAATTATAATAATTTGTATTTAAATTTAATTTTTTAATTAAATTCAATTTATTCTTATGAAACAATGTTATAGTTAATAAGATGTAATGATCCCCGCCATGACATGAGTGTGGAAATCAGTAATTAAGATTGCATTATTTTGTCCCAGTAATATAATCTCAAGAAAAGAGAGTGCATTATTTTGTTCCAGTAATATAATCTCAAGAAAAGAGAGGCAATCAATGGCATCAATACATATAATACAATGTGATTTTCTTTTTCTCTTTAGGATGCAATGCATTAAAATTAAACGAGATTTTTTTACCTTCTCAAATATTATAACAGTAGTGCAATTAATTTTTTAACGTTATTCAAAATTAAAGTTTCCCATCTCAATTTTTTATTATTTATTTTATATTTTCTTCCTAAAATTATTTAACCTAAACATTTAAACATGGTGCAAATAATTTAAAGCGATTATTAAAATATAGATAAAATATTCAGGAAAAAAGGCGTTAAGTTATATCTAATATATTGTAAAAATCGAACAACCTAATTCGAGGCCGTTGTCTGCTGACTGCTAGCAGACGGAATAAAAGCGCTGCCTGCCATATCAAAGCGGGCCAAACTGGCGATGAACATCTAGCTATCACTCCCCAAGAGCGCCAAGAGCATTAGTCACGTGGTATATGTTGGAGACACGCTAGCAGACGAATTCTCTGTGGGTGAGCCGTCTACCTGTTATATGAAGTCGTTGGTCTGGACACCGTCGAGCTGGAAGAACGGGTCATTTTTGGCGATCTACTCGACAGAGAACGAGTCTGGTGTCATCGTTTCGATCATTACAGAGATCGAGATGCGTCCGAAATTTTTCCGTCGTCTGGGTAGCTGCCGTTTAAGTTTCTGACTGTCGTTTTAGAGCTAAACTGGAGAAGCGGAGGTCGCGGATAGTTTTTGTAAGTGTGCGTAATGGATATTTTAATTTCTTAAGATTTGCGAAAAACTCGAGTGTTTCGCGATAGAAATAACGCATTTGATGCTGACGATTCTACTTTTATTGGATTATTTCGACTTACCAAACCCATAGCATGAACCCTTATTAATAAATCAGAGCCATACTTTACCGGAGCATCCACATAAAAGACAGCAATAACTCCTGAATTAAAGGTAAGGAATAATTCGCTTGATTTCCTATCTGTATGATATAGGCTTCTGGCTATTGATCTATCAGATAAGCAATTCCTTAATTCATTTTTAGTGAAAATAATATATTTGGGTTTTTCCTTATTCACATAATAAAGAAGGAGTGCTTACTTTTAATTTAAAATTGTAATTTTTAAACTAATGTACTTAATTTCATATTTTGATGAGTAATTTATAAATTTTATGTTTTAAGTTATACTGCATTTTCCTCTACTTTTATTTTAATTTGAAGTGTGTAAAAATGTAATACATTAACAAATGCATTAAAGAATATGGAGTATATATTCAAATTATCCTAAATTCAACATTCATATTAAATTGCTTTGAGTTAAAAAATATATTTAAGTAGTTTTACCTGTACCGATATAAATGTCAATTTCGAATAGTTTTTAGAATCTCCTGTATGGGAAGGGCGCTGTGATCATCAACACAGGCCTTCGCACTTTTGTAGCGCTCCGGAAAAAACGTTATTTTTTGCAATAAATTCATATCTCCTGGAATAAATTTACTTTTTTCCTATTCAGGATTGTCTTTAGCGTGGCAGGGAAATTGTTACCCCGATTATTGTTGGCTGTTATAACTTCCAACTGTGGCTTTCATAACTCTGGAGAGATATCAAAACCAAGGGCGAGTAAGTAGCATTTCTTTTGTACCAAATTAATTGCTCTACTAAATTAGTGGTTGTTATCCTACCCTGTTCGGTATTTTTAGATTTTTTTTCCCTTTTTCCGTTTTTTTTTCAGATGATTTTATCCTTTTATTTGTATGGATTTCCTCATATGCCATACCCAAACAAGGGGACCTCTTATCAGTAATGCATCTTTCATCGGCTCCCCTTCCAGGCCCCTCTATACGCCTGACACTAGAGTCAGGAACTTCTGGGGCAAGAGAGGTATCTGGGCCAAAGAGTTCTTTGTCTGGGCGTTGGCCCATGTATACCACAATACAATCCCCGCCCAAATGTTTCGCATAAATTGCTAGTTTTCCTTTCTTTTCTTTTTTTTTTAAAGTTTATTTCAGGTTTCATTTCCTTAGTGTTCTTGAATTCTAGACGACATATTCATCATGCGATTATTGCTATGATTACCTCATTCGAATTTATAGCACCTCATTTGAAAACTAGGTAAGAAAATTTTCTCATAAAATCCCCCCTTTATTATTATTATTTTCATTATTGTTACTGTTATTACTTTTATTAACATCGATCTTATTTAATGTCTATCGCTGACTCTGTATCTTCCTTCCCCCCTCCAATGTCTTCATTAAATGGATTACTCACTTTCTGAAAAAAAAATGATAATAAAAATTATATTGATTATGGTTTTGGTATGTATTATTTCCCTTCTCTGACTTATCCGCTTATTATTATTATCATTATTAAATTGTATTATTATTGGAGTTTTTTTTAGTCACAGTGATAAATTGTAAATTTTGGTGATATTACTATAATAACTATTAATGATGCTTGATATTTATAAAAACTACTAAGAGTAATTTTAATTTTCTCTTAGCTTCTATTCCTTGTACCCCCTCCCCCAAAAAATTTTGCACTAGCTTTTAGTTATTCTTCCTGTCGATAGATGGCGCATTTTGTTCAGACGTCCATCTCTCAGATGCGTAACATCAGCCCCGCCTTGAAAAGGGCTACGCTCTCAATGCACTCTATTTCTTTATATATGTCATTACACTTACCCCTACTCTCAAAAGAATTGGGGAAAAATCTAAATAGATTACCGTCTATGGTTCATTCTTCCTCTCAGTTTCTTACTTATTTTTAAAATCATTTCATATTTACAAATTATAATTTCTAGAGTTGCTGATTGTATTCGTTCACTTTAAATAGCAACCATTTTACATAAATATGCTACGTAATTAAATATGAAATTACAAAAATGAATATTTCCTACTCCAAAATAGAATTATTAATTTATTCCATCACTATTTTTATTTCCTTTTTATTTTCTCTTCTGAGCATAGTATTTATTCTTCCGGATCACTACGCTGTTATGAAATTTTAACATTTTAATTAAGACAAGGTAACAATTAATTTTTTATATTATAATTTT